AAAAAAAAAAAAAAAAACAAAAGAAAAAAGAAGAAAAGAAAAAGGAATAGGGGCCAGGGAGATAGCTTGGTAGAATAAGTGCTAGCCTGGTAAGCATGAGGGCCTGAGTTCAATCCCCAGTTCGAGAAAGAAAGAAAGAAAGATAGATAGAAAGATAGATAGATAGACAGACAGACAGATAGAGGAATAAAGCCATGGATGATGAAGCACAGGGTAGAGTGATGTGGCCACTACCAGGGGGCACCTTGAACCCTGAGCACTCACATACGACCAGTGTTAAGTCTGGATGTTGGAACAGGCGGGACCACATCACACCTCCCAGGAGGTCCCTGTCCCAGAAAGCATAATGGACAGATCTGAGAAAGCTCTGAGTGCCACTAGCTAGCCCTAGCCTCTCCTACTAGGCCCCTCACATGGCTCTTTATTGGAGAAAGGGGACTGAGCCCTGGGCGCCCCCTCCTGGCCACAGGTCAGAAACCCTCTGAGAGTTCAGGAGCAGGGATGGACACCCCTGGACAAGAGGTGTACCATGACAGGCCACCAAACTTCTTTACCCACATGCAGCCCAACCCATGCCAGGCTGTCGGTGACCACGTGAGGATTCTCACCCTAGTGGGTAACCTGTGACCTTCTGTCACCTCATTTTCCCTCTCTGTGCTTGAATGATCTCACCAGGCTTCAGGAGAAGGCCACGGCCCCCGCCCTAACCTGTGGGCTCTGCCAGCTCAGAGCTCTCATGCCAGGGCCTTCAGCTTCCTGGACACCTTGGCACAGGGAAAGACTAGATCAGGAAAGGCAAAAAAGGGTCTGCTTTTGCCCTAAACTCTGCTGTCTGCATTGCTCCAGATAGGGGTAAAAGCAGGTCCCCCAAATACAGTAGTGTTTGTAACAGGTCCAGTGTCAGACTCCACCAAGGCCTGACAGTAAATAAACCTTTCCAGTCTGGAACCAGGCGTGGTGGTGCACACCTGTAATCCCAGCCCTTGGGAGGTTAAGAGAGGAGGATTGCTGTGAGTTAAGACCAGCCTGGGGGCTACAAAAGTGAGCACAGTGCCAGACCAAGGAGCTGGTGAGATGGCTCAGTGGTCTAAAGCACCTACTTAGAACAAGCTTAGCAACGCACATGGACTGTGGTTCAATCCCCCAGCAACACATGCCAGCCAGCCCCACCCCCTGGTGGGCTGAGCTGGACACACACACACACACACACACACACACACACACAAATAAATTAATAAAATTAAAAAAAAAAAAGAAAGAAATCTTAAAAAAAAAAAACAAAAAAAATCCACAGCCGGGGAGATGGCTCAGTGGAATAAGCGCTTGCTTCCCTGGCAAGCACAAGGGTCTGAGTTCAATCCCCAGTTCCACAAAAAAAAAACCAAAAAAAGCAACAAAAAAACCCAACAACAACAAACTGCCTACCTATTAAAAAAAAAAAAAAAGATTTATTGCTAAGCCCACTTACAAATTGTCCAGGGCTGCCCCTATGGCTGGAGTGTGTCAAGTCAGCCTGCCCACAGTTGACCTCAGGCTTTTTTTTTTTTTTTTTTTGGTGGAAACGGGGATTGAACTTAGGCCCTTGAGCTTGCCAGGCAAGTGCTTATTCTCCTGAGCCATCTCCCCAATCTCAATCCCAGGCTTTTTGCAGCAAGGGCCAAGAGCATATGCTGGGGGCTGCATCGTGTGTATGGGTAGCTAACATATGGTTTCCCAGTGGGGAGAAAAAGGGGAGATAAAATATAACACTGCCCCAGTGGGAAAAAGGGGCGATGAAACATCACACTGCCCCTTCTTTTTAGCTTATTTATTTATTTTTATGTATTTAGTACATGGTCTCACTACACAGATCAGACTCTTAGTGATCCTCCTGTTTTCAGCGTCCCAAGCACTGGGATTACAGGCACATGTCACTACATCCAGTCAGCGCATGGGGGGGGGGTCCCCCAGCACGGCACACTGAGGACTGAACCCCGGTCCCTGTGTCTGCTTAAGCAGGTGCTTTAATCTGCTGAGCTATCTGGCCAGCCCTTCTTTGTAGCTTTAGAGTCAAAACCACCAAGTCTTGGGAAAGGGGTGCCTTGCCTACCGTGGGCCCTGCAGAGTGTGTGTCTGTGGCTGATGGCAGAATCAGAACTTTGTTAAAAATGAGGACCCTCGGGACTTGCAAGAGTCTGGAAGGAGTAGCTTGGCACGGTGGTGCACACCTGTTATCCCAGTACTCAGGAGGCTGGGGCAGGAGAGTCAATGTGAGTTTGATGTCAGCATGAGCTGTACAACAAAACCTTGTTTAAAAAAAAAAACCAGTCTGGAGGGAACCGGAGGACATAGGCAGTAGGGTGCCGGACAGGTGAGACCCTGTGCCCACACTGCCTGCTCGCAGTCTGGGATCTGGTCTTCTTGGTTGTTCCCTGGTGCCCCACAAATGAGGTGCACCCCCAGCTGCGCTCCTCTTACCTCCCACAGGTATATGCTTTCTGCAATTCCCGCCAGGACGTAGAGGCCATTGGGTGCAGTGGTCACACAGGTGACTGGCCCAGGGCACATGATCTTTTGCTGGAGCTGGTCCTAGGAACACAAAAAAGGCCTGTGAGCTTGGACTGGGAAGTAGTAGAGGTGCCCAGGCAGCTGAGAGAGGACAGCAGCCAGGCACGTCTGGCCAGAGCAACTGCATCACACAGCAAGGAAGGGATCACACCTGCACAAGCTTTCTGGTTTTTATTTTGTTCCCAGTACTACAGATTGAACAATCTGAGAGGCCTTTTCACTGAGCTACATCCTCAGCCCCTCACCTGCTTTAGTTTTTAAGCCAGGGTCTTGCTAAGTGGACAAGCTGCCCAGGCTGGGTTCGAACTTATGATCCTCTGCCTCAGTCTACCAGATAGATGCGATCACAACAGTGTTTCACAACATCTGGCTCACACCTGCATGAAGTTTTGCAAACCAGCTTCCTCTGGAGAGAGGGGGCAGGCAAGAAGGACCCAGGAGGACCCTGGGCAGAGAGCCCAATGCTCAAGAGAATTATGCTCTAATACCCCTTCTCTGATGTGCTCCTACACTGCGTTCCCTCTAGCACGTTTTGCATGAATTCCACCAGGCACCTAAGCACAGTGCTTGGCCGGAGAGACAGCAGCAGACGGACCCCAAGCTGAGCAGTTCTATGAGCTACACAACGGGCCGTCAATGGTGGAAGTCACTGTCACTTTCTGCGGGAAGGAACGCATGAGGCCTACCCATTCGAGGGGCTCCCTCATCTTCCCAAACCACAAACTCCAAAGGACCCTGTTTCCCTTGAAATCAAATTTTGCGCTCGAGTCTGTACATGCGCATTTGCCTAAGCGTCCACCCATCTCCAAGGGTCATCAACGGATACGCTGTCCCCTAGCCCCACACGTGCGCAGGACGCCCCAAAGCACCTACCGCCCGCACATGCGGAGACCCCTTACTGCGACCCCCTTCTCCCGCTTCTTTCACGCGCTCCGTGCTCCCACACCGGAGCCCCCGGCCCGCGCTCGCACCTTTCGCTGCAGCTCCCAGACACTGATGTAGTTCTTGCCCAGCTGCGCCGCCAGCAGGTACTCGCCATTTAACAGCGCCAGGCCGCGGGGCCCAGCCTGGCCGCCGCGGTAGGTGAGCAAGTTAGCCCCCGAATGTAGTTCCCACACGACGCACGTCCAGAGTTGCGCCGTCGAATCCGTACACACCGCCACCTCCATGGGCGCCGCCATTTTACTCCCACACCCTGTCACCCAGGAAGTACGTCATCGACAGCGAGCTACGCATGACGCCATTACGCTCACTAGAGGCGGTGCCTGAGTGTCCTGGGGGCGGGGTTGGCCGACCCGCGCGTGCGCAGAGGCCTCGAGGGAAAGCTTAAAATGGATATTTCTCTTTTTTTTTTTTTTTTTTTTTGTGTGTGTGTGTGTGTTTTTTTGTGGCCGGCTCGGTCGGTCCTGGGGTGGCGCTGGCAAGGCATATGGTGCCAGGAATGAATCCCTGAGCTTGCCCAAGCTTGCCTCAGCAGGCGCTTTACATCGCTGAGCTATCTCACCGGCCCCAAAATGGCTTTTTCTAACCTGGCGGAGAATGCAGGGTCGTGTCTTACTGGTAGATTTTGGACATCTCTTTCTTTCTTTCTTTCTTTCTTTCTTTCTTTCTTTCTTTCTTTCTTTTTCCTTTTTTGAGACAGGGTCTCACTGTGCAGTTAGGGCTAACCTTGTGCTCAGTTTTGTAGCCCCCCAGGCTGGTCTCAAACTCACAGAGATCCTCCTGGGTAGTGCTGAGATTACAGGTGTAAGCCGTCGTTTCGGGGCTGAGACCGCACGACATGTGGGGCCGAGGAGAGAACTCCAGTCCTTGTGCTTGCCAGAAAAGTGCTCGGAGATAGCCTCTGAGCTCTCTCCGGCGGCCCTGGACATCTGTTTGGCGCCCTAAGGTCTCCTGCGAGCTGTTAGAAGCTTCAGAGTCCTGAAGTCTGAGTTGGCCATTCCCTTATGTACGCTTCTGGCCAAGTGACCAAACCTCTGGTAAATTTTTGTTTCTTTTTAAAATGTGTATGTACAAAATACGGACCTCATAAAATACAGAGGCTCAAAGGAGCTTTGCAGTAGAGTGAACTCCACACCAGAAATTATTTAGGATTGAGGGTGCAACTCAGTGGTAAGTGCTTACTCTGTTTGCCTTGCAAGGAACAATACAGTTGGCCCAGCATGTCCCAGCTGCCAGTAATGGGAGCCCATTTTTTTTTTCCTTTCTTTTCTTTTTTCTTTCTTTCTTTTTTCTTTTTTTTTGGTACTGGGGATTGAACTCAGGACCTTGAGTGTGCCAGGCATGCACTTATTCTACTGAGCTATCTCCCCAGCCCCAGGAAGCCCATTTCTAAAAACAGTAATTTTTCTCCTTTTTTTCATGGTGCTGGGGATGAAACCCAACATATACTGGGTAAGCACTCCGTGATAGAGCCACACACCTGCACTAAAGGTATTTTTTATTTTATTTTTTATAATATTTATTTATTTTTATCTATTACATTTATTTATTGTGTGTGTGTGTGGCCAGCTCAGCCCACCAGGGGGCGGGGCTGGCTGGCATGTGGTGCTGGGGATCGAACCGCGGTCCCTGTGCTTTGCCGAGCTTGTTTCAAGTAGGTGCTTTAGACCACTGAGCCATCTCTCCAGCCCAGTAAAGGTATTTTTTTTTAAAATATATTTATTTATTACATTTATTTATTGTGTGTGTGGCCAGCTCAGCCCACCAGGGGGCGGGTCTGGCTGGCATGTGGTGCTGGGGATCGAACCGCGGTCCCTGTGCTTTGCCAAGCTTGTTTCAAGTAGGTGCTTTAGACCACTGAGCCATCTCTCCAGCCCCAGTAAAGGTATTTTTTAAAAAAATATGAAATATGGGGACCAGGGTCAGCAGCATAAGCACCTGCCTGGCAAGCACAAGATCCTGAGTTTAATCCCTGATACCAAAAAAAAAAAAAAAAAAAAAAAAAAAGAAAAGTAAATATACACCTGATGCAAGGGCACCCACCTGTTATCCCAGCTACTCAGGAGGCTGGGGCAGTAAGGTCGCAAATTGGAGCCCAGCCTGAACAATTTAGGGAGACTCCTATTGAAAGTTTGTTTGTTTGTTTGTTTGTTTGTTTTGGTGGAACCAGGGATTGAACTCAGGCACTTGCGCTTGCCAGGCAAGCACTTATTCTACTGAGCTATCTCCCCGGCCCCGAAAGTTTTTTAAAGGGCATGGTAGGGTCAGGGAGATGGCTTAGTGGAATAAGTGCGTCCCTGGCAAGTGCAAGGACCTGAGTTTAATCCCCGGTTCTGAAAAAAAAAAAAAAAAAAAAAAAGGCATGGTAGCTCCCGCCTGTAATCTGAACACCCCAGAGGATGAGACAAGAGGATTGCTGTGAGTTCGAGGCTAGTCTGTGAGACCCTATCTCAAAAACAAAAACCCGTACACAAACATACACACATTAAAGGCTGGCGATGCAGCTCAATAATAGAGCCGTTGACTACCCCTGTTCCAGCACAGATAGCAAAACTAAATCAAACCCCGAAAGATGGAGTTCGTGGTCTGGATTTGGAAAGGAATTCATAGTAACGTCTGATCTCTCTCCACTGTGCTAGGCCATGCACTCAGGGCTGCTTCCGGAGTACAGACCCTGAGCCTCCGCCCCAAGCCCAGGCCAAGCCAGAGCCCACTGGGAGCTCAGCGGGGCATATGACCGGACAGAGATGCAGGTGAGGCGGGTTGGAGGGCTGGAACACCGGCCCAGAGAGAGGGAGAGAGACCAGGTGTCCCGGCGCAGGAGTCGCGCTGACAAGCAGCCAGCGGCGGCCGCTAGATGGCAGGCGCGAGCCGCGGACTGATGAGGGGGTGGGAGCAGGAGCGCTGGGAGGGAGCGGAGATGGAGAGGGGAGGGAAAGACCCTCTGGGAGCCTCGCGGAGCCGGGGGCAAAGGCTCAGAGATAGGTCCATGGCAGGGACCTGGCCGGGCAGCGCCTGCAATAGGAGGGAGAGAGACCACCCAGGACCTGTGCAAGATCCCAGGTCCCGCCAATTATTTATTTTTAAAAAATATTTTTCCTGGTGCTGGGAATAGAACCTCTGGCCTAGGTAAGCACTCAGCCCCAGTATCCTCCCATCACTTTAACAGCTTACATTATTCAGATGCTAGAACTGTTTTTTGTTTGTTTTGTTTTTTAATGACGTCTTATGGAGGGTGTAGAGGCACACACCTATTAACCCAGCACTCAGGAGGCTGAGGCAGGAGGATCGCTATGAGTTCTAGGCCAGCCTGGGCTATATAGTGAGACCTTGTCTCAAAATAAAACAAAGTAGTGTCTCCCTGTGCGGTCAGCGTAGGTTGGCCTTGAACTCACTATGTAGCCTCTGGAACACTGGGATGACAGGCGAGCGTCACCACTAGAGCTATCTGCCCCGGGGTGTGTGATGGCCCTCTGGGGTAGTGTGGATTTGTCCAGCCTGGACCTTTCTGCATTTCAGTATTTCTGCTCTGCACTGTGCCTTGGGACCCTGCAGCCAGAGCAGGGTGTAAGCTGGACACTTAAGCTGCTGTGCAAGTAGTGGACGTGTGTTGTTCCTTCTCCCCTCCCTGGGGAGGGCCGGCCTCATGAGGTCAGAGGTCACTCCACCCCTCTCCTGGAATGGAGAAAGACCAGTTGTGCAAGAACATCAGACAAAAGCTGCGCTTGGGGGCATCCCAGACCACCCAATTCTGGGACTCAGTGATACTGTGGTGGTAAGGTGGACTGCAGCTGTTCCCTGACCTGAAGCTGGGAGGGCGAGCAAGTGGGGAGCAAGCTGGGAAAACCAAGGCACAGAGACCTCCCCATTCCCTGCATGTGCTGGGACCTTGCTGGGACCCGGCCACTTCTTGGGCTTCCTCTGGTCAGGCAGGTGGTCCCGGTGGGCAGTGCCCAGCTGCCTCGGAGCACGAGGCTTCTGCTTCCCCCAGGAGCTTCTTCCGGAGCAGCTGGGCTTTGGGCAGCCAGGAAGGAGGGGCTCGCTGGGCCCCTGTGTGTGTCCCTGGGGCCTGTGTGGCCTCCGGGTCCCTGGGCTCCTTCTCTGAGGCGCTTTGGCAGCTGAAGAATGAAGGGAAAGGGTTGACCCATCAGGTTGTTTTTGTTTGTGGTTTTGTTTTGTTTGCAGTCCAAGGGATGAGTTGGTGGCCTCCGCACTGAACTGCCTCCCAGCTCTTTTCGGTTTTGATTTTGGGACCAGGTCTTACTAAGTTCCTAAGTTGCTCAGGTTGGGCTGTAACTTCGATCCTGCCTCAGCAACTCAGAGTGCTGGGGTGACAGATGTGCACTGCCACATCTGGCCTTTTTTTTTTTTTTTTAGTAAATCACTGGCCCTTGTCCCTTGGGAGTCCAGAGGCCACAGTTGGATTCAGAGGGCCAGGAGTGGAAAATGTCACCTTCTCCTGTCTTTCTCTCGGGTCACAGGTGAGCCACAGCGGCAAGGCTGTTTTTCTTTTCTTCCTGTGCAGTCTCCAGTAGGGACTCGCCCAGGCCGGCCCCAGCCGGAGGTGGTAGAGACCAGGTGACCGCAATCTGGGCCGCCCACCAGGCCACAGTGACCTTGGTTCAGAACAGTCCCCTGAACGCGGAAATCACCAGTGGGCCTCAGAGTAGCCTCTCCCGCCGGGTCCCCACACTGTGGCTTTTGGGGGTTGGAGGTCCTGTAATCATCAGCCTTTACAACTGTGGAGCAGAACTGGCTCCTTCCCACCCAGCTTCCCTGTGGCCACCTCCTGTAGAAAGGTACAATGTGACTGTGGAAAGTCTCCCCTGCATGCGGAGGCCTGGCCCTGGCACCCATGAGGCAGGTGGCAGGGGGCTGTGGAGGGAGCCTTCTGGTGAGCTGGCTGTGACATCAGCTCCCTCTGGCCATGTCCTGAGGAGGGGGCAGAGGTGGAAGTCATAAGCCCCTCTGCCCAGAGGACATGACCTTAGGCTGTGAGCAGCAGGTGGGGACTACACTTGTGGTCACAGGAAGGGCATCTTTTTTTTCTTTTTAATTAGAGGAGCATGAAAGGCTATTCAAATGTGTAGGTGGGGCTGTAGTCAGACACCCTGGAGGTGACAGGACACCTTTTAGGGAACAGGCCCTGCCCATGTAGGTTGTTATGAAGGATATCAGGGCCATCCTGGGCACCGCAGGGTGCTGTGCTGTGTCCTTGGCTTCTACCCACTGTGCCAGGAGTTCCTCTACTTGTGACAGCCACACATGTCCCCAGACATGGGCCAGTTCCCTGGGGGTGTTTGGGCCACCCTTCCCTAGACATGCTGGGTGAGATGTAGATGGGCCAGGGTTAATAATCAGCACAGAAAACAGCTTGGGGGGGGGGCCAGGCTGTCATCCCAGCATTTGGGAGCTGAGGCAGGAGGATCACCAGGAGTGCAATGGGCTACAGGGTAACTTCAAGGCCCGTCTGGGCTACATACCGAGACCCTGTCTCAATACAAACCTGAAAACACACACACATTAAAAAAAAAAAAAAAAGTGCAGGAGACATTTTCTGTTAAAGTCAGAAGTGTTTTGTTTTAATCTTATGAGCTTTTCTGGGTTACAGTTGTCTTAAATATTTCTGAAGTTTAAATACAATTTGCATAATAACGTTATTATAAAATGTAAACTTTCAGTGTTCTTTTAAATTTCAAAATCACACCTTTTTAAAATTTTTTTTTGTCTTTTTATCATTTAATTTTTTTTTTCTTTTTAATACCTGAATGATCTGCAAAAAACTATTGTTGTAGGTCACCCTGCCATGGCCAGGGTGTGACGGCGGGGCCCAGCCAGAGGTAGACAGCAGTTTTTACCTTTTTTTCCTGTTTTTTAGTTTTTTTTTTTTTTTTAAGTTTTTTTTTTCTTTTACCTGAGTTCTAGCGTGATCATCACACCATGTGAGAAGCCCCAGAGAAACTGAAATTGATTTCACGCATCAAGACTGAAAAGCTGAGTTTGTATTTGCTGGAGGGGGGGTTTGTCAAAAAGTAAAATAAAAGCAAAAGCCAAAAGTTATGGAAAAACCAAAATAGGAATGAAATGGATAAAAATAATAAAAAGAAAAAATGCAACTGTACAAATGCATAACTCTTAAAAACACTAAGCCAGCCATCTCCAACTCCCTGTCCCCACCCACCCACCTGTCCTCACAGCTAGAGCCCCATGTCCAGCCTAAGAGTCCCAAAGAAGATTCCAGAAGCAGCCTGTCCAAGGGCCCCTGCAAGCCCCTCATTACCTGAGTTTGGGGGGGTCCCCATCTGCCACCTGCCAAGCCCCACATGGACAGGGCCCAGGGTCAGGTCCTGGTGGCTCTTACCCAACCCCTCCTTCCCCACTCCACTTTGCATAAGAGGGTCCTGAGTTGCTCCCCCAAAAGATGTCCCTTCCCACCCTCATCAGCAGGCAATGTCAGGGACACATGTGAGGTGGAAAGGGGGCACAAACAAGCAACTGAGGCAGAGATGGGATGCCCAGGGGTCACAGCTTCTGCCTGGTAGGATGCAGGGTCCCAGGGACCCGTATAACCCATCCTGCAATCTTAGGGCCACCCCAGGCCACTCCCCTAAGCTTGGAGCCAGTCTGCTCATTAAGGCTGGACACTCACACACACCACTGCCAGGGGACACCGGGTCCCCAACACACACACACACACACACACACACACACACACACACACACACACACACGCCACACATGCACCACCCAGAGACACCCCACAACCTGAGCAGGAGGGACAGGAAGGTGGCTGGGGAAAGATTTTTTTGGCATCAAAAGTCAGACCTGAGGTAGAAAGAAATGTACAGTGGACATTTCCCCAAGGTGGCCCTGAGAGGTCTTGTCCAGGAAGGGACAAGAGTGGCTGGCCAATGCTGGCCAAGTCCAGAGTTCAGATGGTTCTTGGAGAGGGGGTGAGACTGAGTCTTGGGACAAAAAGACCCCCCACCCAGGAATGATTGTGCTAAGACACCAGCGCCCCCCCCCAAAAAAAAAAGGGGGCAGGCAAAACCTTCCAGAAGAAAAAGCCAAGAGATCCACCCCCACTGCCCACCACCCCTCCTGGAAGGACAGAAGGGGGCACAGCAGTGGCTCTGAGGCAAAGAAAGGGTCCCCCTTTCCCAGAGATAGGAGAGCAGAGCTCAGGCCAGGGGGCTGGGGGAGCCTCAGCACACCCCACAGGTAGCCTCGTTAGCACCCACCCCAGGGGCCAATTAGGGCCCGGGCTCACCTGGGTGCAGCCACAGCTGCAGTCTCCACCTGAGCTCGGGCGTGGCCCCGGGAACAAAGGCAGAGGCCCCTGAAAGTCCCCCAGGCCCTCACCAGGCTGCAGACGGCTGCTTCTGCTACAGGTGGGCTGTATCTTACAGATGTCCCCTAATTTTTTGACCTCAGTGGGGAATCCAGGGTTCTTCCTGGGCCTGCCTCTGTTCAGTGACTGTCACTGCAGAGCCAAGACATCCCACAGCCCCTGGGCGGAAGGCCCGGAGAGAAGGTGAAGAGAGGAGGAGGGGAGAGATGAGAATGGTGGGGCTCAGGTTGCCATGGGCCCTAAATCCTCACCCTGAGCTAGGCCTGGCTTCCCTGGGTTTCCCCTGTATTGATCGTCCCCCCACAAATCATCCCTGAGACAGGAGCCTGGGGCCATGACTGGGACCCTTTGTCCAGGGATCATCCTACCCCCGGTTAAGGATTCCCTGATCTGAACACCCAGCCTGGAAATTCGAAATCTGTCACCACGATCCAGCATCCTGGGCTTGAGGGCCACCCATCGGGCCACCAGAAACACCCAAAGGAGCCCAAACCAGTCACAGAAAAATTAAAAATGGTGATTACCAGGGTTGGGTTTTTTTGTTTCACTTTGCTTTTCCTAATCCCTGAATGAGCACAAATATATAGATATATAGATATATAGATATCCTTTTCCTAAAGCTCCACCCCCCAAGAATAAAATAGAATATTTACAGAACAACCCCCCCCCCAAACCTCTTAAAAACCCAATAGGACTTTGAGAGTCACTATTTCTTTAAAAATAAAAATTAAAAAAAAAAAAAAGGAAAAACACACTTCCCAAAGCAACAAAGATGAAAAGAAAATCAGTGATCTCGGCTCAGGGGTTTCATTCAACACAAGGAGCTGGGTGTGATGAATGTGTCACAGATAAAAATAAAAAGTGAAAATAAAAAACAGACAAAAATGCTAACACACAGTGCAGGGATGTATGAGGTAAACAGGGTTGGCTTTGACATTGCAGCTGCTCCATGCCAAACACCACAGCCACCTCCCTGGGAGCAGAAAGAGGCTCCGCCACGGGCTCCAGCGGCTTGCTTTTCCTCTATGGTCTTTTCACAGTCCTCATAATTCATCTCTGAATGTCCAAAACCTGAGAAATTCAAGTGTTCCTTGGTTTTCCCCTGTTTTATTAAATTTCCTTTATATATATGTATATATGTATATATATATATATAATCTTTTTCTCTTTCCTTTTTGGCGTCAATGTGGTTTCGTGAAGCTCTGTTCTTCCCACCTGTGGCTTCTGCCTTCCTGGACCCCAGTCCCAGGCACTGTCAGCTCCTGGGGAGGGGCGGCAGTGGGCAGGCAGGGAGCCACGCAGTTAAGGCAACGAGTTATTTGAGGTAGAAGATGTAGGGGGTACGGCCAGCCCCGGTGCACCTGCCTGGCTGCCTGAGCTGGTCCCTGTGGGGCCTCCCCGGCCTCCTGAGCTGCTGCTGCTGCTGCTGCTGCCGCCGCCGCCACCACTGCCGCCTTTGCTGGGTGCTGAGGGTGGCGTGGGGGCTGGAGGCTGAGCAAATAGGACCCCTGGTACAGGACAGAAGAGAGACTCGTCACGGGACCAACCTGGCCACTGCTGACCACTCAGTGCACAAGCGGGAAACCACCTGGGCCACCGAGGCACTAACTGCTTGGCTGTGTGCAGCAGTGTACTGACTCTAAAATGTGACCTCTTAGCCATGGTCCACACCACAACCAGGCTGCCTTCTGCCCACAGTGTCACACAGTGCCTGGTATGTGCCACTGCACTTTTGGTTCTGAGGATTGAACCCAGGGCGTTCACCCAGAGCTACAGCCCTAGTTATTTATTTATTTATTTAAAATTCTATTTATTTATTTATTACAGCAATCATAGTGATCCTTCTGTGTCAGCCTCCTCAGCACTGGGATTACAGGCATGTGCTACCACACCTAGTTTTTTTGGGTTGGTACAGCATGTGGTATGTGGGATCGAACTCAGGGCCTTTTGCTTGCAAGGTGGACACTTAGAACACTGAGCTGTCTCCCAACTCTTCTTCTTCTTCTCTCTCTCTCTCTCTTTTTTTTTTTTTTTTTTCAGTACCAGGGATTGAACTCAGGACCCTGCGCTTGCCAGGCAGACACTTATTCTACTGAGCCATCTCCTGGCCCTCCAGTTATTTTGAGACAGGGTCTCATTAAGCTGCTAAATTGCCCAGGTGAGGCGTGAACTTACAAACCTCATACCTCTGATTTGCAGAGTTCTGGGATGACACACATGAGTCACTACAGCCAGCTACCACTTGTTTTGTTATGAGACAGGGTCTGACCATGTAGTCCAGACTGGTCTTGAACTCTCAGCAACCCTCCTGCTTCAGCCTCCCACTATGCGAAGACTCTGCCTGCCACCCCTAGCTGCTTTTCCCAGTCTCCAGCTGCAGGCCAGAGTCAGACCAGGGGCCCTGCATGCGGTGGGGACAGCAGTGGCCCAGATGGTGAGCACTTACCTGTGTACATGATGCCGTTGAGCTCGACCGACATGCTAATACTATTGCTGCCATTGGTTCCAGCGAGGCTGATGGCCGAGTCCTGCCGGCTCTCAGAGGCTGCAGGGAGAAAACCAGAGAAACGTGTTGGCTTTGTGGCAGTCTAGCCACTTGACTGTAAGGGCCGAGGAGGTGAAGGCTGTCTCGTCACCAGAGCGTGCAACAGGTGTGTGCTCAGCGGTCCTTCTCCCCCTACCACCTTTCTGTGGGCACAAGGTCCCGCTAAGGTGCTTGGGCAGGTACTGAATCATGACCACCCTTCCTGAGCTTCCAGAGTGGCTGGAATCACAGGCATGCACCCTGCACGTAGCGGTGCACCCCTTCATGCACCCTTTCATGCACCCCTTCATGCCTCCCTCCCTCCCTCCACTCTTGAGGTGGGTTGGAGTCTTGCTATGCAGTTCAGGCTGGCCTTAAAACTTGTGGGGACCCTTTTGCCTCAGCCTCCTGAGTGCTGGGATCACAGGTGCACACCACCACACCTAGAATATTTTGTTTTTATTTATTTATTTTTGTGGCTGGCGCAGCCCACCCCAGGGGCAGGGCTGGCATGACATGTAGTGCCGGAGATGGAACCGTGGTCCCTGCGCTTGCCTAGGCTTGCCCAGGCAGGCACTTTAGACCACTGAGCTATCTCACCGGCTCATATTTTCTGTTTTAAAAGAGATTGCCAGCCGACGATGGCGGCACATGCCTGTCATTCCAGCATTCTAGCTGACCGAGGAAGGAAGAGCACAAGTTACAGCCCAGTTCAGGCAACTTACTTAGTGAGACCCTTCCTCAAAATTTAAGCTGGGGATGGAGCTCAGTACAAAGGCCCGAGGTTCTCAGTACCCCACCCCACAAAGAGAGATGGCCAAACTGTCACCAAGGTCCAAGGTCCAGCGTCCCCACCTCATGAGTGTAATGAGGCCGATCACACTCATGGGAGGCGCCACGTCAGTATTACTGTGCAGTGCTCCCACTAGATGGACTCGTGATCAGGACCCCCTGGCCTCCTCTGGCTTGATGGCCTTTTGCTTATTGATTTGCTGGTACTCTTTACATAGGTTGGCTCCGAGGCCCTTGCATGCAGGAAGCACAGAGGGTGTGGGCGCCAGGCCGGCACCTTGGCTGTTGATGCGGATGCTCATGGGCAGCTGGGCGGTCATGGCCAGCAGGTTCTGCTGCAGAGCCCGGTGCAGGAGGCGCTGCTGCTCATCTGCGACCAGCACCATCTTCTTCTCCGGTGGCTCCCCAGACTCCAGCTTCTCCCGGATGTGCTCCAAGGCTGCCGCCTGCGCTGCCACAGCAGCCTGGGCTGCTGCTGCTTGTACTGCTGCCTGGGCTGCCACCACAGGATGGCCCGCCAGGGACACGGGCAGGCGACCGGGGACTGTGATGGGGATGGCCGAGTCTTCCTCTAGATGCACAGAGGACAGAGGGGATCAGAAAGTGACCCAAAAAGTATGAAGATGAAATATAGGAAGTAAAGCCATGCTGTTATGCTGAGCTGTGGGGGACTCAGGTCAACAATTTCTGACATTGCCAGTGAAGCGGAAGACCCAATGCTATTATGGGCTACTGGACTCTTTTAGAATATTTTGCTAAGTTTACACACCTATAATATTCAATAACGTGGGCTGGAGAGATGGCTCAGTGGTCTAAAGCACCTACTTGAAACAAGCTTGGCAAAGCACAGGGACCGCGGTTCGATCCCCAGCACCACATCCCAGCCAGACCCGCCCCCTGGTGGGCTGAGCTGGCCACACACACACACACACACACAATAAATGTAATAAAAAAAAAAAAATTCAATAACGGAACTTAGAAAAAATGGGGTATACCAATGAATGTCCATTTTGTATCTTTGTATTCAAAGTGGTTGGGATAGATATATAGTTGCATTCTCTTAATGAATAGAATGATATGTTCTAATAGTGTTTGTAAATAGGATCTCAAGTCCGCATCTTGTATAGCAATTAACCACTAAGAAGAATGTATGCAATGTGTTAATTATTGAAACTGTCCTAGCGATTTGATTTGAAACTGTCTCATTGCTATTTGTTTATCAATAAAATTATGGCAAAAGAAAAAAAAGAAAGTGACCCAAGTGGGCCGGTCTTGCCTTCAGCCCCAAGCAGGGTGCAGTGAACACCTCTGCTGATGGGGAGGGAATCACTTCTTGTCTGCAGAAGTAGATGAGTTTCCAAATAGATGCCTATGCGAAAACACCCCCGTCATCTCAGCACTCAGGAGGCTGAGGCGGGAGGAACACCACACCACAAAGTTGTTGTTGGCCTAGGTTACGTAGTTGAGTTCAATGCCAACCTGGAACTACATAGTGAGAGTCTGTCTCAAAAAGCTAGCCAATTAACTAATAACTCCATAAGAACGGACACAGTGGTAAAGGACACAGTGGTGTTGCCAGCAAAACGAATTACAACAACAGTATTTAGCATTTGTACTTTCATTATTATTTTCTGGTACTGGGGATGGAACCCAAAGCCTTTTCTATTTTATATGTGGAGACAGAGCCTTGCTCAGTTGCTAGGTTGCCTAGGCAGGGTTTGACTGTGAGACCCTCCTGCCTCAACCTCCCAGAATGCTGGGATCACAGCCATGGACTGCCATGCCAAGCTGGGTGTCTTTTTGGATACCCGCCATTTAGGGGGGAAAGTACTCCCAGTCTCCCAGAGCCATGCTGGGACCAACCCTAGGGCACCACGCATCCCTCACCTTTCTTGATCTTGGGGGCCGGGGTAATGGAGCTGCCGTTGGTGCTGGCAGCCAGGCCTAGGGACTGGACAGGCAGCTTAGGCGAGGACAGCATGCTGTGGGCACCTCCTGGCGAGTAGGAGAAGAGAGAGCCGCCGAAGCTCTGGCGCCGACCTTCTCGCCGATTGCTGTCAATAGCAGCCTGGAGCTCATTCGGGCTGCTGAGGCCGCGCCGCTCACACTCATAGGGATACAAGTACTTCATGTACCTGTAGGTATGGAAGAGCGTGGTACCAGGCTGCCCTTGATGCGGCACAAGGGCCGCACCATCCTGTCTCCCTGTGATCAAGTTTTATTCTAAGATAGGATCTTATTAAATCACTAAGTTGCCACTAAGTTGGATGTGAACTGGAGATCCTCCTGCCTCACCTCCTGGAGTGCCAGGATGACAGGCATGTGACACCATGGTCAGCTCTGTGGGGTCTTTAAACCCTAACCACAACTCAGCCCCGCCCTGAGCCCCAGTCCTGCCGTGTCCCCCCGCAGGCCACTCACTGGGTCCGCAGTGTGAAGGCGGCGCTGGTGATGGAGGTGGGCAGGTTGAGGCCCTTCGTGATTTCCCGCCACAGCTTCTTATTGATGACCTCTACCAGGCCGCCCTTCTCAGTCACCAGCACGTATAGCATGAACAGGTCGAGCACCTGCTTAGCCATGATGGGGATGCGGTTCACCGGCGTGCCTGCAGGCAGGGGATGCAGGTGAGGCCAGCAGCAGGGTCCCCATCAAGGCCCGGGGACACCAGCAATACCCAGGCCAGGTCCTCTCTAGGGATCTGGGCTTTGGGGCAGCTCCCTGGCCTCCACCAGCTCCATGCCAGGGGCTCCCCAACGAGACAGCCACAGACATCCCCAGACCTGGTGTCCCCTGGAGGCAGCACCCCCCTCCAGGCCCCGCCTTGACAGTGCAAGGAGACAGCATTGCCTCAGTTTTCCCACAAGTGACTTGGGCCCATGGGCAGCACGAATCCCATGGGCAAAAGGGGTTTCTAAGAGGAGGGAGGCTCTGAGGGTACACTGGGGACAGACAGGTGACACACAGGCGTTGCTCTGCAGCAGCTGCCAGGAGCGCAGCCTCTTCCCAGGGGCCCCTCCTGGCCTCAGCTCAGGGTTCTGGGAGTCACGGCCGGTCCCTGGGACCCGCAGTTTGCAAACTGAGGCAGTGCCCACCAGGCCAACTCTGCCTGGCGTCTCGGACCAGAGCCCTTCACTCCCGCGCCTGCCAACAGTCTTTGGAAGCCCTGGAGCTCAGCTCACCAGGCTGGCACCTCCCCCATCCCTGACGCTGGGCTCAGGTGACCCCTCACTCCAGCGCGCAGCCCAGCACTGCGCAGGCGCGGTGAGCAGCAGTGCTGGCATTTTCCCTACCTCCGTAGGGCTACTGATGGCCCACCCCAGCATGAGAGATGGGGAAACTGAGGCTTGAGGACAGAAATCCTGAAGGTGAAGGACCAACTCAGCACCCTACCCTCCATCCAGCCACCACCTGCTGTCCTCTCGCCCAGACTGCAGAGTTCCTAGGAGTCCTGAGGACACAGGGAGGCTGGGCCAGACCTGCTGTGCACCCTGGCTCCATCTCACCCGGCAGGACCCAGGCCAGCCAGGCCTGGGGTCTGTGCCACGCACAGGGCAGGAGGCCAGGTACAGAGGTAGATGTCAGCACAACAGGGAAGGCAAGGAATCCTCCCGTAAACAGCAGGGCTGCTAGGGCTGGACCGGCCTCATCTCCAGTCCCCGGAGACTGGGTAAGAAATCTGGTTTTAACTTCTCAGTGCAGTCAGAGCAAACAAAACAAATCAAAAAACCTCTCGCCCTATCTGGAATAAAGGAAAGGAGCCAAGCAGGATGCAGAATATGTTATCTAGAGTAGAAGCTGGTGGTTGGACAAGTTCTCAGCCCCAAAGGCTCTCAAATACAGAAGAGGAAAGGGGCTTTGTGGGATGTCCAGGAGTTCAATGTCCCCTATTCTTCAAGAACTCTCAGCTTGGTGAGGGAAACTGGGCTGGACACTGACCCTCGTGTTCCTACTGACCAGGGGCTAAACAGAAGCACCTGGGAGCCCCACCCCGCTCACACTCACTGGCAACTCTCTCCACTTATGTGCCTTAAGAAAACCGGCCACCATGCTGGGTACTGGGGACCCCGTGAGATGGTCAGCTTGGGGGCTGGGAGCTGGGGCCCCTAGCAGATGGCCAGAGGGCTCAGGCAGGTGTGGCTGGGATGATAAAGGGCGTGGGGCCAGTGGGGCAGCTGGGGCTGCGCTCTGAGGATAAGGCGCGAGGGTCCCCTCCCAGGGAGCCAGTTGCTTCCCGGCCTGGTGCAGGAGGGGTTAAGGCAGGGCCACTGGGCAGTGGGGTCGTTTTGCAGCCCCGCAGCCCCTCCCCTCGCCGTCCTCCCCTCCCCCTCCCTCCTTCCGGTGGTGGGGTGGCAGCTGGCGCCTGTGTTTACAGAAGCCCTGCGAGGGTGTGGCCTGGACAGCACTGGCTGTGGTGGGGCCCAAGCAGCAGTGGGGGACCCAGGCTAGACCCCGCCTCCTCGGCCAAACCTTCCTGGCCAAAGCCACAAGGCCACAGCCCTCTCTGGGCCTCAGTTTCTCCACACTGGCCCAAAGCCAGATCTGCCCTTGGCCAGTTTCTGCTGGAGGCCAGGTCGCCCTGCTATGTCCACGGCCTTGGCCACTAGGCTCTTCTTGGCTGCCACCTCTCGAGCCCTCTTGGTGGCCGTGGGCCAGACGTACTCAGGACAGAAGACAGGGGCCACAGGTTCATCTGCAATCAGTACCACCCGCTGCCTGGTGGGGGGCTGTGGGATCTGGTGCTGCTCCCCCGAAACAGGCTGGTTCTGCCTGCCTGCTGGCAATGCTGTGGGGTCCTGGGAGCAGGGACACCCCAAGGTCACACCAAGGGCTCAGAGGAGCCTGGACATTCAGTTCAGGGTTGGGGTCCAGAAATACGCCCCTTGATTCACTGCAGGGCCTTCCCCCGCAGACATCAGGTAAGAGTGTGGCGTCCTCACCACCGCCGCCGCCGCCACCGCCACCGCCGCTACCTCCAGGACAGCACTGTCCAAGGCCCAGGTACTCACCTCGCTTCTGCATGAAGCTGAACAAGTCATCCAGGAACTCCTTCCTCTTAGGGTCCCCGTCGAGTTCATAGAGCTAAGGGCAGAGAAGGCAGCGGTCAGTGGGCTACGGAGTGGGCACCATAGGCCACGAGCCACCAGAGGGAGGGGGCCCAGAGCCAGTCCTCCTGATGCTGTGGGCATCTGAGCACCTCACTGCTGGGCAGAAAACACAGCTGATGCCAAGGCCACGGGGTTGTCCCCAGGCTGCAGGGACAGAACTCAGATGGGCAGCTTGGGACAAAAGGAATTCAAGCCCCGCCATCCAGAGCCAGGCCTGAGACCCAGCTATGTAGGGGGCTGGTGCCTCCCGCCTGTCCCACTGTCTCTGGGCTTCTGGCAGTGTCAGCCCCATCTCTGCCGCCACCACTTGTGTCCCTGCTCTTCTCCTTGAAGGACCCCAGTCTGCTAGGTTTAGGGCCGCCTCATCTCCATCCCTAACCAACTATATCTGCAGAGCCCCCCAGTTCCCAAATGAGGTCCCTCTCATAGAGCCAGGGCACGCAGCTCTTATTCATCCACTCTCCCATCAACTCGGCACCGAGGATAGAACCCAGGGCCTTAGCTGCAGCTCAATCCCCAGCCTTTTATTTTGACACAGCCTCTAACTTACTGAGTTGTCCAGAGAGAAGTCAAACTGGAGACTCTCCTGCCTCAGCCTCCCAGACTGCTGGGATGGCAAGTGTGTGCCACTGCACCTAGTTCTAGGTGGGTGGATTTCTTTTTTTTAATTTTTTTATTTTATTTCATTTATTTTTTGTGTGTGGCCAGCTCAGCCCACCAGGGGGTGGGGCTGGCTGGCATGTGGTGCTGGGGGATTGAACCGCGGTCCCTGTGCTTTGCTTAGCTTGTTCTAAGTAGGTGCTTTAGACCACTGAGCCATCTCACCAGCCCCATGGATTTCTTAAAGGGACACAATTCACCCCATAGTGGCAGCGTTCATTGGAACCTCAGGGGACCAACATGACCATGACAAAGGTCCCCTGGGGCTGTCCTGGGAGCCCCCCCAGACAAGCGCATCTACTCCCAAGACCTGGCTTGTTTTTGCAGAGCTGAAGAAACTCAGTATGGTGTGTGTGTGTGTGTGGGGTTACAACTGGGGAGCACTGGGGACCCAGGGCACAGAGCCTGTGACCAGTTCTCCTGGCCTCTGAGGTCTCATGCTGTGACCCCAGCATCTGGGAGGCTGAGGCAGGATGGTAAGTGTTAGCTAGCATGTGCAACTTAGCAATACTCTGTCTCAGAATAAAAAAAGAAAAGAAGAAAAGGGCTCTGAATGTGGCTCAGGGGGAAGGCCCTGGGTTCCATCCACAACACTCATAAATAAATAGCCAGTGACCATCTGCGTGCCATGCAGGGCTGGCCGCCCTGCTGGGGAGGAAGTGACAGGATGTCACCATAGGAGGGGAAATGCTGTCTGGGGCACCCGCCAGGGCACTGGGGGAACCTTGGCCCTACAGCCACAGCCCGCAGTCCAGGAGGGCAGGCAGGGCAGGCTGGGCAGGGGGCAGCAGGCAGCGGGCAGGGATAATTAGAAAGTGGAGTTCAGGCGGGGGCCAATTTACCCGGGAGAGGCAGGGGCAAATACCAGGCTTCAAATTAAGCTCCAGGGAATGCTGCTGGCTGGGCTGTGGGGGGCCTTGAAACCACCAATTAGGCCTAGGCTGGGATAATCTGTCATTAGGTGCCCAGTGCAAGGCAGAGCAGCTCAGGGCCCAGAAGCCAGGACCTTCTCCCGGCTTCCCTTCTGCCAACCTGCCTTGCTCTGATCCTTGGCTTCCCAGTCTATAATGGAGATGGGGGCGGTGGCTTCTGAAACAGGGTCAGGAGGACCCGCGTCCAGACCTCATCCCTGGGTGGTCGAGGCCCAGCACAAGGCCAGCTGTCGGCCTTTGTCTGCGCCCCACCCTGGCCAGCGCCAGACTGGCCGGCCCGCATTCCTGTGCTGATTTATGGCGGCCTGGGAGGCCCCTTTCCCCCTCAGCTGCCCGAGGGCTGCGGGGCCTGCAGGTAGACTGGGCTGGACCGGCCAGGCCTTGTCCTTCCAGCCCTGCCCAGCTCTCCCTGCACCAGCCCTGAATGCCCCTCACCCATGCCTCTCGCATAGCCCTCCCAACACTGAGCTCAAACACTCGTGGGGTGCACACACGTGTGTGGGGGTTGGGGTTGTTTGGGCCTCTGGGTCTACAATTCAGTTGAGCACACAGCAGCTGCTTAATAAATGCTCCTCAGGCTGGGTACAGTGGTGGTATACGCCTATTACCCTAGCTGCTCAGGAGGCTGAGTCAGGAGGATCTCAGGTTCAAACCCAGCCTGGCAACTTAGTAAGACCCTGTCTGTGTCTCAAAATTAAAAACCAAAACAGGCTGGGGATATGCTGCTGGGTTCTGCCCCTGTACACTCTCAGTCTGTCTCTCTTTCCCAAAGGGTTTATCCTGCACGTGCGGAAACACTATGACCACTAGTATCCCAGATGGGGAAACTGAGGCCAGGGCAGAGAGAGAAAGCTTACTGAGGAGGGGACAGCAGTGAGGCCATTAACACCCAGGCCAAATGGTGGGCTAACAGGCCAGTTGCTGGGCCTGGTTGGACCCCCATGAAGCCAGAGCATTGATTCAAGGCTATAAAAGGGGCGCCCACAGGGCCCCCAGCTGCAGGTGGACAAGGCTGCCTTAATGGCTATTGCTGTTGGCAGCTAACAACAAAAGCTGCAGTAAAGGATGCTCCAGCTTTATGGGGCTCCAGCCCCCAGTTCCGCTCCCCTGGCCAGCTGGCCGGGGCCCCAGGGGACAGTGTCCAGGCCCCTGCTTCTGGGCAAGTAAGCACAGCTGCTGGTCATGGAAAGGCTCTGAGGACACATTGCTGGCCCACAAGATGACCTGCGTCCAGTCCCGGCCTGGGCCCATACAGAGAGGCTGAGTAGGCCTGGCGCTGTTCAAAGGAAGGGGCCAGAAAACATACAGCTGGTCACCTGGGCACCCCAGAGCCTAAAACAGGTCGGGAGAAGCCAGGAATCCACAGGGGGCTCTGGGCTGAGATTCTACCCCCCCATGCCCGCCTTATTGCCCCTCCCCTACTACAGGCCCAGATCCTGAGACCCAATGTCCCTCTCCCAGGATGCTGTCCCCAGGTGCTGCCCCGCGCTGGCCTCCAACAGTGGCCCCCACAAATACCACATCCCTGGAGAGCAGGCCTAGGCCTCTGCACCAGCCACCCCCACCCCTGCTTTCCTGTGGACAGATTCCAACCTTCTGGCTTAGGTGTGCCCTCCTCCCTGACCTTCATCTCCGGGCTCTGTGGGTCCACGCAACTGCTTCGGATCTCAACAGCTGTCTGATCCCCCACCCTCATCTAAAACTGCACACACAAGTGCTTAATAAATGCTTTTTTTTTTTTTTTTTGCAGAACCAGGGATTGAACTCAGACCCTTGCGCTTGCCAGGCAAGTGCTTATTCTACTGAGCCATCTCCCCAGCCCCGCTTTGGGGTTTTTTTTTGTTTGTTTTTTGTTTTTTGGTTTTTTTTGGCGGAACCGGGGATTGATTGAACTCAGGCCCTTGCGCTTGCCAGGCAAGCACTTCTTCTACTGAGCTAACTCCGGGGCCCCAAGTGCTTAATAAATGCTTGTTAATGAACCTCATCTCTCAGCCAAGGCGTCTGTCCCAAATCAGAGCCCTGCCTGAATTATCACACAGGGTAGGGTCCCACTTCCTGGCTCCGTCCTGGCCCTTCTCATCTGAGATGTGGGTGTAACATCATCGAAGCAAAAATGGGGTGAGGGCTGGGAGGGATGCCTGGCAGCTGCTGGACAAGTGCACGTCACCCTCACTGTGCACCCAGCAAGTGGGGATGCCACTCACCCTGGCTCCTGGGTTGGGCCTCTCCTTGAGCCCCTTATACCCCATGGAGAAAAGGGCCCTAAAACACACATGCACACACACCCAGGGCCTATGCACTGGCTGTGGTCGCAGCCTGGGGTGTGGGTCCGATATCTCCACAGGCTTCCTCCTCTCCACCGTCCCCTTGGGCCTTGCACACCCTCTCACCCCTCCCTTCTGCTCTGCTTTCCTGCCAGCACTGCACACAGGGCCTGTTGGGTGAATGGATGAGTGAGGGAAGGGGCCTTTGGTTCTGGGTGCTGGTAGAGCTAAAAGGCAGATTCGGGAGCTTGGGGCTGAATGGATGTGGCCCTTCTAGATCAGACCATGAGTCTGGCCTGGGAGGAGAGGGGTTGTCCCAGTGTGAACGCTTCCCTTGGAGGTTGGAGGTGCTACTGCCCTGGCACACAGGGGAGGGGCATTGCTCATCAGCCCTGCAGGGAAGAGACCCCTCCTACTTAGTCCTGGCTCAGACCTTGCCCCAGCCGGGGGTAGGAGGGGGGGAGAAAGCCAGTAAAGGACCCCAGGCTTCCATGAAACCTAACAGCGAGAACCAAATTGAAAATAAAAAAATTTAAACCGGGCATGGTGGCGTGCGTCTGTGATCCTAGCACTCGGGAGGCTGAGGCAGGGGAAACGCTATGAGTTTGAGGCCAGCTGGACCCCATAGTGAGACCTATATTTTTTTTATTTATTTATTTATTTATTTATTTATTTATTTATTTATTTATTTATTTTCAGAACCAGGGATTGAACTCAGGCCCTTGCACTTGCCAGGGAAGTGCTTATTCTACTGAACCATCTCCCTGGCCCGAGACCTATATTTTAAAAAACAAAAACAAACCCACTGCCTGGCAAGCACAAGGTCCTGAGTTTGATTTCTCATACCAAAAAGAAGAAAGAAGAAGAAAGAAGAAGAAAGAGGAGGAGGAGGAGGAGGAAGAGGAGGAGGAGGAGGAGCAGGAGGAGGAGGAGGAGCAGCAGCAGCAGCAGCAGCAGCAGCAGCTACAGAATGACCACGGGACAGTTGGATTGGAACAGGTGTGGGCTGCCCTCACCTAGGACCCAGGCTGGACTGGGATAGCTGTTCAAGGTCACTTCCCCGCTGCCGGGCCCCACCTCAGTGTCTTGGCCCATTCCTGCTGCTGTGGGCGCCCAGG